TGCCGCGGAGCTGCCCTCGCCAAGTCGAGCTCTTCCCCGAGCTTTTCGAACCTCCAACAGGGGGCGATGTGCCGACTCACGCTGACCAATGCGGTTCTCGATATCCAGCATCTTGCGCTCGTGCTCTCGACGGCGTCTCTGCTGGGCCTGTCCAGGGCAACGGCCGGGGGCGCGACGACACTCGTGGGAGTCTTGGGAAGTTGGACCGTGACCAGCTGCGAGATCGACTCGGCGGAGGCCCCCGACATCTCGGCAATGACATCACTCTGGAACTTCAAGCACGATGGACATCTGCGGACCAGAATCCCTGTTGACTTTTGCGCCATGGAGACGCTGGGCCCACGGGTCCTCCTGAGTCAGACGTGCCCCGGGGATCAGGACAGCCGTCTCCGCCGACGCCGTGCGAGGCGCGCGCGGGGGAGGTGCGGGGCGATCCTCGACGCCCGCCCCCTCCCTCCCGCAGGGGGGCTGCGACGGGCAGGCGGCCATCTGCGAGATGCCCTCGAGCAGGTTCGTGTTGGGGGCGCCTCCGTTGGGGCCGGGGCTGAGATGGCGATGGCCAGCGCTGGGAGACATTGATCCCCTTTCACTCTTTGACCGTTGTCCATGGGGTGCCCGCGTCATCTCCTCCACCGCGGGGCCCCCCTGGGCGACTGTTGAATCGCGGGGTGGCTGGATTCGCGGCTCGACTGAGCTCTCCGACGCGTGGCGGTCGCCGTCGCCAGCGGCGCGGCGAGCGCGGCGAGGTGCAGCGGGGGGTTTGACATCCTTCGTCCCCTTGTCTTTCTTGTTCTTCTTGTCAGGCATCTGCGATGGCTGGGGGGGAACTGGAACTGCCCCAGTCTACCCTCCCCAGTCAGCGCGCGCGTGCGAGGCTGGCCACGGAGCCCTGCCGCTCGCCGGCGCAGCAGGATCCAGACCTGGGCGTGCAGGTCGAGAGGGACTAGGGTCTGGCCGCGGACTAGCGGCATCCGCTGGGCTCCGCGGGGGGCCCTGTGTCCTGGGTCAAACCTGTTGCGGGGGATTGCGGGGGGGGGGGGGAGGAGGCAGGGTGACGTGGAAGAAGCAAGGACCTTCAACATTCGGCATTACACGGCGGGCCCGACGCGGTTGCCGCCTGCGAACATCGCACTGCGTCGTCGTTGAAGTTGGCGCAGCGCTACTTCGTTATTTTCCGATCGGCGGTGGGGCTGGTGCGATATCCATGAGGCAAGCCACCCGCCGCTCGTGACGTGCCCGATGCGATTGCCCTGGCGCCAGCGTGCCACCGGGCTCCTGCTCCTTCCCCCCTGCAGCGGAGCGGGCCCGATGCGTTTATCAGCGGGTAAGCGTCCTGCCGCGGCCTGGCGGGGCCCGATGCGATTGCCCTCGGGGCAGGCGCCCCGCCGGGAAGCGGCCGGCCCCCTTGTCCTGCCGCTTTCAGCTTTCAGCTTTCTCGAACCTGGCTTGCGTGGGTAGTGTAAGAGCCACTGGGCATGATTGAAAGGAAACCTCCTCCTCCTCCTCCGCCTCCACCCTGCGTCCTTCCAGCCTCGCTCCTTTCTGGTGCCCCTGGGTGGCGACTCGGGGCCCCTTCGGAGCCGCTTGCCTGGGTTCCCCGATCCCGCCCAGGGGCCCGGCGGGCGCTCGCGGCAGGGGGCGCGCGCCCGCGGGGGGCGGCCCGAGGCGGGGGCCGCCGTCGGGGGGCTCGAGGATCGAGGGCTCGAGGCTCGAGGGCCCCGGCGGGCGGGCTAGGGGGGCGCGCGGGGGGGCGCGGGGGCGGCGGGCGTCGGCGAGTCGACGCGCCCGCGGATCGAGGGCTCGCGGGCGGGCGGGAGGGCGAGGGGGGGGCGCGGGGCCGGCGGGCGTCGACAGTTCGAGCGACCGCCGGCCCGGACCCGCAAGGCCCGCCCCGCGGGCTCCGGCGGGGCGCGGCGGGCCGCGGCATGCGCGGCCAGTCCATGGCAGCGCTGCAGATGCTGCCCAGCTCCGCCCGGGCCATCGCGGCTCGTTTCCTGCGCGCGTGCGGCGACAATGGGTCGACGGGCGCGGCTGGGTGCGCGCCGCGACAGCAGCCGACGTGCGCGACCGACGGGGCATTCTGACGCGCAAGCCGCAGGGCCTCGGTCTCTGGCATCTCCCTGCTCGCCCGGTGACTGGGTGGTTGTGGTGGTCATCAGTGCCGTCGACCTCGTAGATTGTCTTTTCCTTTTTATTCTTCTCCTCCTCCTCCTTCTTCTTCTTCTTCTTCTTCTTCTGTTCCTCCTTCTTTCTCGCGGCCCCGTCGCGCGCGCGAGCCGAGGCCGCGGTTGGCAGGTCGCCCGCGGCCCGCGGGTCAGCTCGCGGGCCCGCGCAGTCCCGCTGGCAGCTCGGGCCTACGGCGTGTTCGACAGGGTGGGAGCTGAGGGATCTGCTGGGAGAGGGAACTGTGGAGAGGCTCGAGCTGCTCCGCAATGGCCTGCCGCTCGCGCGCGCAAGTCGAGACGTCCAGCCTCGCATCCTCCGGCGCGCGCTGGACCGCCCCCTGTGGTTTCGGCATGGTTTGACCACGGATCGCCGTCATGAATCGCGACTCTCGTTCCTCGCTAGGTTGGCGCGCTCTTGGGAGACGTCGGCAGCTTGCGAGGGCCCCCCCGCCGCGAATCGTCCTATTGCGCGGACGGGGCCCCCACCTTGGCGGCATCCAGCAACAGTGAAATCTTTCGCTGCCCCGCGAGCGGGCGCAGGGATGGCCCCGCCTCGGCCGAGAGACAGCTTGGGAGGCCGTCCATCGCCGTGAGTCTCGCAGTGATCAGCTCCACTCCATGTTGGGGACATGGCGAATGAGCGCTCTCACCGCGTCGGCCAATTCCTGGATTCCTCTCGGCCACGATCGCCTGGCGCGCGGCCGGGAAGGCGAGGAAGCGCGCCTCCAGCGACTGAGTCTGCAGCGAAATGGACGTCCACGGCGCGACGCACCGCGTCTTCCAGCCGCTGAAACCAAAGCCCTTCGTCGTGACGGAGAGCCCCTCGCTGATGGCCGCCCAGATCGCGTCGCACTGAGGGGTGCATGGGCCTCTCATGATGCGACCTCACAACCAGCTCGGAGCCCTTCGCGCCCCCTGCCAGCATGTTACTTCAACCGTTCTGCTGGAGCTTCTCCTTCATGTGCGAGGTCCATGCAAACGCACATGTAAGTCTTCCGTGCCGAACGCAACCGAAGCACATGGGAGCACCAGCGGCGCCACGACCCCGCCACGAACATTTTCGGGTGCATGTAGAGTACGAGGAGTGTGTCCGCTGGCGGCCCTGTTTTCATCTTGTGCTGCACTGCGACGACAGGGAGTTCGTGCAGTCGCCTTGCTGCCCTGAAGCTGCCAATGTGCATGCAAGCGTATTGCCGCAACACGAAGTGGGCGTCGGTCGCGTCGGAAAGCGCGATCCCCCACCGCCACCCTGTTCATGCTGCGTGCTTGTGTCGCAGGGTGGAGGTTGAAGCCAAGGATGTCGCAGTGGAGAAAGGCCAGCGAGACGCAGCAGGTTGGATACGGGTGCCCAACTTACCCGAGATCCCAGTCTCCACGAGCCGTACCCTTGCAACGAAGAAGTTGTGCCTGCGACCCGTGGCCGCCAGAGGGGGGATGCGCGCACGCGCTGGCCACGCAGCCTGCCGCTGGGGTGGCTTGAACCAAACTGGCTAGAGTCGAGAAAGGAGAGGAGCAGAGGAGGAAAACGAGGAACAGGAGGCGAGGAGAGGGAGGAAGAGGAGACGGATACGAGCGTACGAGGACGAGGCGGATTATGAGGAATTGAGAAAAGGGTAGGAAGAGGAGGAGGAGGAAGAGGAGGAGGAGGATAAGGATAAGGAGGAGGAGGAGGAGGAAAAGGAGGAGGAGGAGGAAGGGGAGGCGGAGGCGGAGGAGGAGGAGGAGGAGGAGGAGGAGGAGGAGGAGGAGGAGGATAATGACCAGTGTAAACCCGAAACTCGTCAACGATGTTGGGATAAACCCTCCCTCCAAACGAATGTGCGCGACGCTGAAGCAAGAGTCACATTCTTAGAAGGAACATATTTTAAAACGAATGTGCGCGGCGCTAAGGCGAAAACGACACTGTGAAGAAAAAAACCCGCCATCAATCCGTGAAGCTCTTGCACATGTTCAAAACGAGTGTACGCGGCGCTAAGGCGAGAACGATTTTGGAAACCGCCCGCCCCCCGTCCGTGAAGATGTTGCGAATTTCAAGTTCCAGAGCCATAAATTGGAAGGATGTCTCTAGCGAAACATCCGACCCGCCAATTCGACCAACCTCGGGGAACGACAGGGAGAAGCTTTTTTTTACAAGGATATGGAATGGAGGAGGGCAAGTGGGAGGAGGAGGAGGAGGAGGAGGAGGAGGAGGAGGAGGAGGAGGAGAAGGAGGATGTGGAGGAGGAAAGGAAGTAGGATAGGAGGAGGAGGAGAAGGAAGAGAAGGAACAGGGAGGAAGGAACGGAGGAGAAGGAGGAGGAGGAGAAGGAGGAGGAAAGGAGGAGGATGAATGAGGAGAGGATGAGGATGAGGATGAGGAGGAGGAGGAGAGGAGGAGGAGGAGGAGGAGGAGGGAGGAGGAGGAGGAGGAGGAGGAGGAGGATAAGGAGGAGGAGGAGGAGCGGAGGAAGGCAGAGCAAAAGGAAGGGGAGGAGGGAATGCAAGGATGAGGACGATGACGATGATGAGGGGCAGGAGGTGCTGGAGAGCGCGAGGAGAGTGGAATCCGGGCAGTCTACGCCTGCAGCCATGACACCAATTCCTTTGATTTAGCCGTGATACCCTGTCAATCACGACACACGCGTCCGACGTGGGCATGTGGAGGCAGCGGCTCCTGCTCCTCGCTCTGCTCCTCCCCATCCTCTCCTGCTTTCTTCTCCCCCCTCATCCTCCCCTGGTCATCCTTTTCGTCCTCCTCTTCCTCATCCTCCTCCTCCTCCTCCTCCTCCTCATCCACTTCTCTTCCCCTTCCTCCTTTGCGCAAGCGACGGTGGTGGCGGTGATGGCGAAGGGCGCCTCACGGTATCACCGGCTAAGCCTCGTCGGCGCCCTCGCCCAGGACCTCTGGCGTCAGAAAGGGGACAAGACAAACAGGAGGAGACGGATAACGGTTTGCTCTGATTCCCTGACCGCCCCGATTGTCCGCCGCGAGTCTGGGACCTCTTCACTTGAGGGGCCCTTTTGCCCATGGCTTCATGGCTGTCCCTTCTGCTCCACATCCTCCCTTCATCCCCCTCTCACCACCTACCCGCGTCGTTTCATATTCGGGATGCCTCATGCAAGCTCTTCCCGTCAGTGCTCGTGCCGTTTCGGTTTGTCCTTGCTCTGAAGCTCCCAGCAAAGCTAGGCTGGCCTCTACATGTAAGTATCCGGCACTTTTGGTGACCGAGACAACCTCCACGCACGCGAAACTTCTCCTCCCCGCTTCGTTCTCCGCCTGCTCCTCCACATGAGACTTCTTCCTCACCTCCCCCTCCCCTTCCTCCTCCTCCTCCTTCTCCTCCTCACCCTCCCCCGCTTCCTCCTCCTTCTCCTCCTCCTCTTCTTCCTCCCCGTGGCCTCCTCCTCCTGTCCTCCTCCTCCTCCTCCTCCTCCTCCTACTCCTCCTCGTCGTCCTCTTTCTCCTCCTCCTCCTCCTGATTTCCAAATCAGCAGCGCGTTCACAACATGTCGTAGGATCCGTGCAAGAAGAATCGGGATGGGGGGAACGATCGACGGGAGCATGCCTCAGACAAGCTCGTGCATCCCGCGCAGCGGGATGCTGCGCCCGAAAACGCCCGACCTGGCGCTCGGGTCCTCGCCGTCCTTGAGCAGGGACGGCGACTTCGCCCCGTGCGAACTCGCAGGAAGAGCCCCGGCACGAGCACTCAAGGTGAGCCTGCGGAGTTGAGACTTGAAAGACCTGAGCCTGCCTGTCCGAACACGAACTTTGTGCATGCGCTGCCCTTGTATCGAAGCACCCCCACCAACGGCCCCGCGCTGCGCACAGTCAGCCCCGAAACTCTTGACGCGATGAGAGCTTCTGAACCTCCAATCATGAAGCCCCGACGCAACGTCCTCGGCTAACTCACCTGACGTGGCCGTTATCTTCCCCTTTGGCTGCGGGTCGCCCTCTTCTTGGCCTCGAGCCCGCGGCGCAAAGCTCTGGTGGCTGCTGCCGTAAACTGCCGAACTCTCTGGTGAGTGAGTGCCTGCCACCTGCGTGGGGGCGTCGTCCACCGCGGAAGAAAACAAATCATCGGAGGATGGGGGCGCCGAGCGCAATCGCCCAGCACCTTCAGCGCCAGGACTCAAGCGCGAGGTCGCATCCCAAGATCCCGCGATGATCGCACCAAATACCCGAGCACACCTGGATGCGCGCCGCCCCAACAGTAAACGCCTCGGAGCCCTATGCGCCCGCAGGCGCATTCGAAGATGAAACATTTCAACTTCCTAGCTGCTGCAACGCATTGGGGGCGCGACACTTTTTTCGCGGGCCTCGGTGAGGTCCTGCAAACTCCTCGCAACCTAGAAAGTCCTGGAAGCCGCGTGCTCCGAGGCAAACGCCGCCTCCCAGACGGCCCTTTCACAGGGGCGGCGCCCCTTAGACCTGTATAAATACTGCCGGCTGCATTTGGACTCCCAAGTCGCTGCCATGTCTCGAGGAAAGTTATCGGGCGCGCGCAACGTCATGCTGGCGGGGTCCATGGGCATCGCGTCGCCATCGGGCTAAGGCAAGACGCGCATCGTGGTGATAGATCTGAGCAGGAAGGAGGCCACTGCGCATAATCCAATCCCATTGATGACACATCCCCTCTCGACGCTGATCTGTAACGACAGCGAAGTCCCTGGGCCCCAAATGATCAACTCCCTGTGCAGCCCAAATTTTGATCTTCCGACTAGCAGATCGAATCTCTCGAGGCTCATGACAATCCCCGGGGCGCTCCTAAGTAGCCATCCACTCCGAAAGCTACTTCGTGCAAACGTCAGGATCAAGATCGTGCTTCCGGACCGCTTCCCGATTGCAGAGATACCCTTCGAGCTGCTCAGCAGGGCCTGGCGGGGCATCCACTCGACGAACATGGATGGGTTTCCGTCCTACTGGGCACGTGGTGTATCTGTGAGCTTGATCGCCGCCACTAGCGACCGCTGTCCCGACGAATGACTTTCGCTGCAATGCTCTTGTTCGCGAGAAGGCGGCGTCGAGATGCTCGTCTTGCTGTCCCGCGAGCCGAGCAGAATCAAGTGGCCCATCAGCCGAGATGCCTGGCCAATGGGCAGCGGGGTGCTGAAATGCGGGCCAAGCTGGCGCGTCTTGGAGTCGTCTAGGGCCGAACGTGACTGTCGCGTGCAAGCTCGGATAGGGCTCCGGGCGAAGTTTCTCAGGTTTGCTCTGGATGTGTCCGAGCCCCCGTGGCCAGTTGGCCACGCGCCTCCAACCCGAGGCTTCAGGGCACGCAGCGGGGCAGAGCCCCTTACTCCTTGGCAGCCCTGGCAACTTCTGAAAAGACCAGCCTGGACATCGCCCGCGGAACCTAGTCTGCTCGTCCTCTGGAACGCCGTGTATCCCGATGAGCGCCTCCTTCGTGAGACCCATTCAGTCCTCGTGCCCCTTATTCAGATTATCCTGGGATTCCTGGGCCTCGCGTGCCCTGTGCGCCGCGCTCCAATCGGGTGGGGCAGGAGAGCGACTCGCCGGAGCTTCTGGCGCAAACTTTCCGCGCCCTTCAGACCGGGGTGTCGGCGGGGGCCGGCCGAGCCCTCGCGCGCAACGCGACGGGCCGATGCGGGGCCAGAAAGGGATTGGCCGAAACAGAGCAACTCAGACCACGAGGGACCAGCGCACCGGAAAGCGCAAAATCATCCGGGTCACGGCCCTTCCCAGACCTGCACGCGATATCGGAAGGTGCCACACTGCGTCCTCTTTGCTTGCAGGCGCAGCCCTGCTGCGCGAACTCGCTCGGCGTGGCGTTCCAGTCGCCTCCTGTGATGAAGGCCCGTCCTGGACCGCGCAGAGACTCGCCCAGACGGGGAAGCACAAGAGATCCCTGCGCACCAAGCGGATCATCCATAGGTCGGTAAATCGAGAACATCAACCCCCCCCAGGTCCAGGGCGTTTACCCGCGTGCAACAACCCTGCGGGGGCTGGGGAGGGCTTTGGAAGATGGTGCGGAGCAGTGCTCGTGCCAATAGGTAAGAGGAAAGCCGATGGCTTCTCCCCCAGAGAGCCCTCCTAGCTCAGTCACCCTTCTGGCATTCGAAGCTCCCAGAAGTCCTGGATCTCGAGGCCGCTTGCTTTCTGATCTTGACCGTCTTGTGATGCACCCACCTCCTGCACGGCGACTACCTGCAGCGACTGCTGCCTGAGGTGCAGCTCCGCGTGCCTGCGCGCAAACCGACGCCGACTTCCACGAAGTCGTATGAGCCGTCCGTGTCGTCATAGTAGGGGGCGTACACGAAGTATCGAGACCCTGGAGCAACTTGTCGCTGGGTGTTCCTAACTTCCTGACGTTGTCCCGCCCCGTAGGGGACGACGGTGCACCTGTCCCTCCCGTGGCTCCACTGCGCGTTGGGGTCATCCGAACGGGCTCGCTCCACGGCTCGCACGGGGTCGCCCGACGGGACTCGCCCCGCACGGCAGTGCTCACGCTCTCAGGGTCAGAGCGGCCCGAGGAGCGCGAAAGCATTAGCGAACACCCACAAGATGAAATGGAGAAACGGCCGACAATCTCTCGCTGGGGAGGCTGCCCGCTGTGCGTGATCTTGACGGGGTACTGCCTCTGCACCTCCAGCCAGAGGCCGCGTCAAAGAGGCTGCTGCTTGGCCGAGGCTTGACGGGCTCGCTCTCGCACATCGCAGCGAGATGGAACGCCAGCCGCCTTGCCTTTGCCCTCGCCGATGGACGCGATCCCTGCCGCCGCTTGCCCTGCAGGGCGGGCCTCGGCAACTCCAGCCACGGGTGCCTCAGCAGCTGCGACTGGCCCTTCAGGAGCAGGCCGAACGCCTCCTCCTTCAACTCCATCTTGTCCTGGTGCGCTTCCAGCAGCTTCTTCTCCACCTGTTTTTTTCCCCAGCAAGGCGGGCCTTGACCTGCTCGTGCTCAGACTTGAGCTTCTCAGCCCGCTCCCGCAGCTGGCCAAAGAGGGAGGACGCCAGCTCCTCCCTCGATGGAGTCGGAAAGCTGCTGCTCGCGAGCCTTGGCGGCCTGCGCGTCTGATTCTTCCATATCCTCATAGTCCACCATGCCGAAGAGGCCCTCCGCCGAAGAGAAGACCACCTGACAATCCATAATGTCAGCCACGCTGATGGGCGGCGGCCAGTCCTTCTCGTCGGAGGGGCCGTCCACCACGATGATCTGCTCGTGCACTTCCGCGATGGCCTTCGTGTAGGTCTCGTCTGTTGTCTCTAAGTAGGCATGAGTGGCCTCGCATTTTGCTTGCTGAGCCGCCACACCCTCGCGCAGCGCGTCCAGGTGCTGCAGCTGCTCGTCCAGAGTCTTCTCCAGCTTCTGGATCTCCTGATGGGCCCGATCCGCCCTGGACTTGGGCGGCCCGGGCAGCCTTAGGCAGACCGCAGCCAAGACAATCTCGCACCGCCTTTTTCGCGAGCTCGATGAAGTACATGGTCTCCTGCTCTGACATCGCGCCCAGCCCAGGAATCGGGCCAGGAGGAGCGACACCGTCAGCCAGAGCCAATCGAGCGCCACTCCCCCACGACTGGGTGCTGCTTCCTCCCTTGCCGCCAACAAAGCCGTCGACCTCCTCTCCCCTGTTGCCTTTTTTCTTGCCAGCAACAGTGGCAACGAGACGTATTGTATGAGTTTTTACCGCAGCCACATTTGCAAAGCCAGAACCCGCCATTCTGCCACGGATGCCCTGACATCGGCAATGTGCCGAAAGTATGGAACAACACATCGTCCACGCGCAGCTGCGGTAGCAGCCAAATGACCTGGATATCGTGCAAATGGCTAGTCCTGGCCCAGCCGCCTTGAGTGATGGCAACTTGAACCACAATGGCTTGAACCTAAAAAAAATACGGACTCCTCCTCCCCCTCCCCCTCCCCCTCCTCCTCCTCCCCCTCCTCCTCCTCCTCCTCCTCCTCCTCCTCCTCCTCCTCCTCCTCCTCCTCCTCCTCCTCCTCCTCCTCCCCCTCCCCCTCCTCCTCCTCCTCCCCTCCCCTCCTCCTCCTCCTCCTCCTCCTCCTCCTCCTCCTCCTCCTCCCTCCTCCTCCTCCTCCTCCTCCTCCTCCTTCTCCTCCCCGATCCTCCTCCTCCTCCTCACTCACTCAATCACTCACTCACTCACTCACTCGCTCACCCCGTGGCGGACGCCGCGGTGTCCAGCACCTCCACGAGCGGCCGCGCCGCCGCGTCGCGCGACGCCGCGCCCGCCGAGCTCCTCCTCCTCCTCCTCCTCCTCCTCCTCCTCCCCCTCCTCCTCCTCCTCCTCCTCCTCCTCCTCCCCCTCCTCCTCCTCCTCCTCCTCCTCCCTCCTCCTCCTCCTCCTCCTCCTCCTCATCCTCCTCCTCCTCCACCTCCTTCTCCTCCTCCTCCTCCCTGTGCCCCCCTCTCCTCCTGACGGGGCCACAGATCTTCACATGTGTGGCGTGTGGAGCCTTATGTGAGGGGCTGCGGACAGGCCGGCTGGCACTGGGCTGCACAGCTGGCCCGTCTTCCGCCCACCTCGCATCCAGTCTTGGCCCCATCCGCCGTGGGATGCGCCCCAACCACACTCGTGGTGAGGTGCCCAGTGAAAAGCTGGTGCCGCTTGCCGAGTTCTTGCGGCTGGGAGTGGTGGGTGGTCATGGCTAGAATGGTAGCACACTAACTTTAAGGCTCCAGGGCCAAACAGGAAGCGGTTCCTCACATCCTGCATCCATAACACGATTCTACGGCATTCGAAAAGTGGTGGCAATTCCCACATGTTGCGTCTTTCGGCCCCGCCTCATTTGGCCGGTCTGGCACAGCCTGGAAGAGCTGGTGTGCTTCTGGAGTTCTTGCGAGGACTTGTCAGGCTTGGACTGTTTGACGGGGGTTGGCGGAACTCGTGCCTGGCAGGGTGGGTGGTTGTTCACTCCCCTGGGGTCGTTTGGCCATCTACTTCCGAACTGGCTCGCCTATCGCTTCCCTCCTCCCTCCAGTCCTAGCCTCCCGCGTAGCGGAATGACTGATCAATCCTCCTCCCCCTCCTCCCCCTTCCCCAGCCCTTTGCGGCCTCGGCGGCGGCCTCGCCGCTGGTGGCCTCGCCGCTCGCGGCCTCGCCGATGGCGGCGGCCTCGGCCGCGGCGGCCTCGGCCGCGGCGGCCTCGCCGGCGGCGGCCTCGCCGGCTGCGGCCTCGCCAGCGGCGGCCTCGCCGACGTCGGCCGCGGCGGCTGCCGCGCCGCCGGCCTCGGCGTCGGCGGCCGCGGCGGCAGCCGCCACGCCAGCGCCGGGTCTGTCTTGCTGGGCCTCGGGTGCGAGGATGTCGATGAAGGGAAGGGGTAGATTTGATGTCGATGTTGAGCTGTCGTTTGGGACACTTACTCATTGCTGATCCCGCCCCACTGGTGCCCACTGTGTTTTATAAATGATGTGCCCCCCCGGGGGCTCGCACCCAGTTCCCAAAACAGTGCTTGCACTCAGGGGTTCCTACTTGTCTCCCTAAGCGATTGGTTAGATCGGGCGAAGATTTCAACGTTGCCGCTCGTTGCCGCCTCGTGCGCTGGGTGGGTCTGGCGAGGTTTCGCCACGCTGTCGCCTCGTTGCCGCCTTGCTGCTATCGTGTTGCCGCCTCGTGCGCTGGGTGGGTCTGGCGTAACGTGAGGGGGGGATACGCTGTAACGACGTCGGGGGCTAAACAATGTTTTCCGCCTTCGTCTCGTTATGGTCATGCCTCGTTCCGTCTTCGTTCCGCATCTGCTGCGCAACGACACCAGGAAGAAAAGGGGCAATGAAACCGCCAAACACACCGTTCAGCTGGGAGCCCGGGGAGGGAGGACGAAGTCAGGGAGAGCAAGGGCGGAGAGGAGGACTGGAGGGGACCGTCAGGGGCAACGTCAAGGAGAGATGCGCGCAGGGGGGCGCGTCGACCCCCAACCGCCCATTGATCGCCGACAGGGGCCTGCTAGCGCACCCCGCCCAGGGCCATGCGGTCTCGCCACCGGAAGCCCATCGACGATCTACCGCCGAATTCAAGTCGAAGTCGCCCCCTATCGTTGCTCCTCCAGACCTTGTGGCTCCTGCTGCGGATTTTAAAACATATAGGCTTTTTAATACATGATTAATATATGAATAAATGTATGCATGAACGCATCGTTGTTTTTTAAACAAAATCCCTGCATTTTTGATACATGACCTGCACGCGGAGCATGTATAAAAAACGGCACTGCAAGCCTCATTGGCCCCCTCGAAATCGCCACTGGCCCGCCCCAGCTCCTGCCTAGCTCTCCCCGGCGCTGGTTATCACAGCTGCTGCCTGCCGCTGCATCATCTGCCAGATCCTGTCTGGAGACCACGCGCAGGTAGCACGCAAACCTCTGCCCAAGGCCATGCACGGCCAAGCAACACCTTCGCCGCCGCCGCCGCGGCCGCCGCGGCTGCCTCCGTCGCCGACGTCGCGATCGTGCTCGCACCCGTCGTCGCTGGATCTTGGTCCTGATCGTCGTCGTCGTCGTTTCCGTCAGCGTTGCCGTCGTCGTCGTTGTCCCCAGTCGGCGCCCGCCTCCTGCAGGCGAGGCGCCGCCGGCGCGGGCGCGAAGGACGAGAAGTCCGCCACCCACGCCGGGCCCTGCGGGCGGCCGCCCGGCAGCGGAGGGGGGAGCCGGGGGGAGAGAGGGCGGAGACGGCCAGAAGGGGTGAAGGGAGAGGGAGGAGGAGGGGGGAATGGAGAGGGTGGAGACGGCCAGAAGGGGCGAAGGGAGAGGGAGGAGGAGGGGGGAAGGGAGAGGGTGGAGGCGGCCAGAGGGGGCGAAGGGAGGGGGAGGATGAGGGGGGCAGGATCCGATGGGCACGTACAACTGCGAGTCTGCACGGCGAAGGAGCTGCATTGCGGTGCAAATGTGCAGACACCTAGCTCGAGAGACTTTCACAAGGCAGTCCCAATGATAACTCAACGTCTCATCTTCATCTCTCGGTCTCGAAGTCTCAGAGAGCACAGCAAGGTAGCGCCCCGAATGTGATCGGCCGCCGGGAAGAACAACGGAGATACAGCACACGAGATAGAACACGTGAACCTATCATATCTACTGTTTCGCCCAGAACAGCTCACTTGATGTCGACTTCAATATGTCGGGCAATCCTATCACTTTGGTGCGCCGTCGTGTTGTTACTACCTCAACTTCCGCTACGTGACTACGCAAGATCAGAAAAACGGAACGCACACACAAACACACACAAACACACACAAACACACACAAGCACACACACAAACACACACAAGCACACACACAAACACACACACAAACACACACATCAACACACAAGCACACACACGCAAGCACACACACACTAGCACACACAAACATACTCGAATACACACAAATACACACCACACAAACACACACACTCATACACAAACACACACACAAACACACAATTACACACAATCACACACACACACACGCACGCGCACACACAAACACACAAACGCGCACACACACTCAAGCACATAAACCCACAAACCCATAAACAAGCACAAACACACAAACATACACAAGCACACACAGGCACACACAAACACACACAAACACACACAAACACAAACACACCCACGCACACACCACACACTCTCACACACACAAACACACACACACACACCCACATCCACACACCCACACACCCACGCCCGCACACATCCACACACCCACACACCCACACACCCACACACCCACACACCCACACACCCGCGCACCCACACACCCCCCACCCACGCCCCCACACATCCACACCACCCACACACCCGCACACCCATACACCTCCCCCCCCCACCCACCCCCACACACCCCCGTACCCCACCAACCCCCCACACCCCCCTCCACTCTCCCACCCCCCCACCCCCCCACCCCCCCCCCCCACCCCCCCCTAACCCCCTCCGCCCCCCCCCCCCGCCCCCCACCTCACCCCCACACCCCACACCCCCGACCCCCACACCCCACACACACACCCCACACACCGCACGCCCACACACACACCCCACCCAACCCACCCCCACACCCCACCCCCCCCACTCCCACCCACACCCACACGCACAGACCCATACCCACACCCACACCCACACCCACACGCACAGACTCATACCCATACCCATACCCATACCCAGGCACAGATACATATACAGACACACACACAGAGACACACAGACACACACACACACAACACACAACACACCACACACAACACACAACACACACACAACACGCACACAACAAGCACACAACACGCACACAACACACACAACTCACACCACAGAACACACAACACACAACACAATACACAACACACACCATACAACACACACCACGCACCACACAACACACAACACACAACACGCACCGTACAACACACCACACACCACACACAACACACAAACACACAGCACATAGCACACAACACACATCACACAACACACATCACACAACACACACCACGCAACACACACACACACACACTACACAACACACAACACACAAAAACACAACACACAACACACAACGCAGACCACACCACACTCAACACACACAACACACAACACCCAACACACACACACACACCACACACCACACACCTCACGACACATACCCCCACACACACACACACTACACACACCACACACACCACACAACACACACCACACAATACACAACACACAACACACAACGCACAACGCACAACACACAACACACACAAACACACCACAGAAAACACAAAACACAGCACACACAACACAGAACACACCACACCCCACACAGCATACAAACACACAACCACACAAACACACACACAAACACACAAACACACAGACACACAAAAACACAACCAAACACAAACACACAAACACACAATACACAAACACATAACACACAACACACAAACATATCAAAACAACAAACACACAAACACAGAAACACACAAACACGCAGACACGCAACCACATAACCACACAGAAACACAGACACACATAAACACATACACAAAGAAAAACACGCACCTCACAGCAAACACACAGACACAGACACAGACACAGACACAGCCACAGACTCAAACAAACATACACACAGACACACAGACACACATACACACAACGTATTCCGTAATCACTCCCGACTGGTATTTCAAACAACGTGTGTCGACTATGCCCTTGACTGTGCCTAGGCCGTGATCGCTTTTCATCGGCACGGGTGCCGACATTCACATTCGCACTGGCGCTCGGGGTGGGGAGCCGCTTTGCTGCGCCTGGGCCACCGGGATCCTTCCTCAAAAAGAGCACTGCCGATCGCCCAAGGGCAGCACATTGAGAACTCCTCTGGTCTGCACGCGTCCTCGTGTAGCATATCCGAGCATCCAACAACCCTGTGCGATGTGTGGGGTAGGCCTGTATGTGGCACCAGCTCCGAAATCATGCAGTGACGCTTCAAAGCCCCAAACACAGGTCGCCAGAAGGGAAGGTGGAGGATGACGAAACTCGTTTTCCTCCTCCTCCTCCTCCTCCTCCTCCTCCCTCTCCTCGTCCTCCGTCTCCTCCTCCTCCCTCTCCTCCTCCTCCGTCTCCTCTTCGTACTCGTCCAACTCCCTCCTCGATCGGCAGAGAGAGCCCCATTGCGGCGGCGCGTTCGGGGCCCACCTGCTCCGCAGGCGCCTTTGCCGCGCCGACCCGCTTGGCGGCAGCTTTGGCAGGCGCCTGGAAGACGCCCAGAGAGCAGGAGGAGGAGGCGGAGGCGGAGGAGGAGGAGGAGGAGGAGGAGGAGGAGGAGGAGGAGGAGGAGGAGGAGGAGGAGGAGGAGGGAGGAGGAGGAGGAGGAGGAGGAGGAGGATGGAGGAGAGGAGGAGGGGGGAGGAGGAGGAGGAGCGCCCGTGGCTCCACAAGCGTCGGAAGCTGTGGCCGCAGGCCGCCGAGGGCGCCGCTCGGATCAGCGCAGAGCTTGAAAATCGTGGCTCGTGCTGCTGTGGGCCGGGGCCCACGCGTGACGGGCGGCTCGCGCAAGGCCCGCGCGGGGTGCGCAAGCACCTGGACGCGCTGGAAGGCGGCGCGCGCCGGTGCTTGGGCCACCGTCGGGGGCGGGCGCAGTGGGTCTGGGCGGTGGCGCAGCAGGTTGCACGTGTGGTGCAGCGTGGCCAGCCGCGCCACCGTCCCAGGGAGGCCGTTCTTCCCTTGCGGCTTTACCTAGTAGTCCGCTGTCGAGCCCAAGCCGAGGCGATGAAGTGGGGACTCGCGGGCGATGGCACGCGTTGCCACGCACACGCACCACCAAGCACCTCGGCACTCCAAGCAGCGCGAGATCTGTTCAGCGCCGTCTGAGCAGGACCATCGGCACCGCAGGCGGGGATATCCCACGTGCATGCGGTAGGGAGTGGGCCATGCGCCTGCGAGGGTGGGAGGAGGAGGAGAAGGAGGAGGAGGTGGAGGAGGAGGAGGAGGAGGACGGGGACCCCCCTCTGCTCCCCATCCTCCTTCCTGCTTGTCTTTTCCCTTGCCTCTGTGTCCCCCTCCTCCTCCCCGTCCTTCCCCTCCTACTTCTCTTCCTCCTTCTGCTCCTGCCCCTTATCCTCCTCCTTCTCAGCATCTACCCCATCCCTCGTCCCCCCTCCCCCTGCTCGTTCTTTCTCCTATCCCCGCATTCTCATTCCGCTCCTCCTCATCCTCCTGCGCCTGTTCCTTTGCCTCCTGTTCCTGCTCCACCTCCTGTCCTTCCATGCAGCCTTTCCTTGTCTTCCACCTCATGTCCCCTTCCCCTTATCAATGCCATCCTCATACATGTCATCCTACTCCTCCTTTCCCCTTCCGTAGTGCTTGGTCGCTCGAGCCGACGCTCCAACAATGAATAACAAACGGACGCGCTGCAAACGCCATAACATGGTACACTGGTGTTCTACGTCATCGTGTCATGCCGCTTACGTACTCCTTCTGCCAACCAAGTCTGCTCTTCCATATAGTTGTATATGTATGTATATTTCCCAACCATCCTGTGGTGTTGGGTCCTCGTTTTGAAGACACGGTGCCCCGCGTTCCTCTCCTCTCCTCCTCCTCTTCCCCCTCCTCCCACCTCCCAACAGCATCATCATCATCATCATCATCATCATCGTCATCATCATCGTCATCATCATCATCATCATCATCATCATCATCAGCATCAGCATCAGCATCAGCATCATCATCATCAGCATCAGCATCAGCATCATCATCATCATCATCATCATCATCATCATCATCATCATCATCATCATCATCATCATCATCATCATCATCATCATCATCAGCATCATTCATCATCATAATCATCATCATCATCATCATCATCATCATCATCATCATCATCATCATCATCATCGTCATCGTCATCACCCACCATCATCGTCATCATCACCATCATCGTCACACCTCTCACACGTTTTTTTTCGCGGCCCCATAATGGAGCCTCCACAGAAGGTTCCCCGTGCGCATTTCGCATGCGTTCAGCCCACCCGGTACAGGATACCCCTCAAAACCCCACGTTTCGTGGCCCCATAGGGAGCTCCACGACGGCCAAGTGCTGCCCGCCCCGCATGCGTCCAGCCACACCCTGTTCGGCACATCCCTCACACGTTTCGTGGCCCCATAGGGAGCTCCACAGGCACACCCCTCACACCGTTTCGTGCTTAATGGGGAAGCTCCAACGAAGGCCCAGTGCCCCCCGCCGCCCGCATGCGTCAGCCCACACCCAAATTAGACACACCCCTCACACGTTTTCGTGCCCCATAGGGAGCTCCACCGAAGGCCCCAGTGCCGGCCGCCGCATGCGTCAGCCACACTTAATTCGGCCACCTCTCACACGCTTCGTGGCCCCATAAGGAGCTCCACCGAAGGCCCCAGTGCTGCCGCCCGCATGCGTCAGCCACACCCAATTCGGCATACCCCTCACACGTTTCGTGGCCCCATAGGGAGCTCCACCGAAGGCCCCAGTGCTGCCGCCCGCATGCGTCACGCACACCCAATTCGGCACACCCCTCACACGTTTCGTGTCCCCATAGGGAGCTCCACCGAAGGCCCCAGTGCTGCCGCCCGCAGGCGTCACGCACACCCAATTCGGCACACCCCTCACACGTTTCGTGGCCCCATAGGGAGCTCCACCGAAGGCCCCAGTGGCTGCGTTGGCATGGCGGCGCCGCGCCCATTTCGGCACACCCCTCACACGCTTCGTGGCCCGATAGGGAGCTCCACCGAAGGCCCCAGTGCTGCCGCCCGCATGCGTCAGCCACACCCAGTTCGACACACCCCTCACACGCTTCGTGGCCCCATAGGGAACTCCACCGAAGGCCGCAGTGCCGCCGCCCGCATGCGTCAGCCACACACAATTCGGCACACCCCTCACACGTTTCGTGGCCCCATATGGAGCTCCACCGAAGGCCCCAGTGCTGCCGCCCGCATGCGCCAGCCACACCCAATTCGACACACCCCTTACACGTTTCGTGGCCCCATAGGGAGCTCCACCGAAGGCCCCAGTGCCGCCGCCCGCATGCGTCAGCCACACCCAATTCGGCACACCCCTCACACGTTTCGTGGCCCCAGCCCGCATGCGTCAGCCACACCCATTTCGGCACACCCCTCACACGTTTCGTGGCCCCATAGGAAGCTCCACCGAATGCCCCAGTGCCACCGCTCGCATGCGTCCCGCACACCCATTTCGGCACCTCCACCAAACACAGCGTTTCGTGGCCCCACAGGGACCTCCACCGAAGGCCCCAGTGGTGCCGCCCGCATGCGTCACCCCCACCCCAGCACAGCATTTCGTGGCCCCACAGGGAACTCCACCGAAGGCCCCAGTGGTGCCGCCCGCATGCGCCACCCCCACCCAGCACAGCGTTTCGTGGCCCCACAGGGAGCTCCACCGACGGCCCCAGTGGTGCCGCCCGCATGCGTCACCCCCGCCCAGTACAGCGTTTCGTGGCCCCACAGGGACCTCCACCGAAGGCCCCAGTGGTGCCGCCCGCATGCGTCACCCCCACCAAGCACAGCGTTTCGTGGCCCCACAGGGAGCTCCACCGAAAGCGGCACCCGCAATGCGATATTCACAACTGCACATGGTTGGGTCCTTCGCCAGGATAATTTTATGTATGCATTTGTTTGTTTGTTTGTATGTATGTATGTATGTATGGATGTACATATATATATATATATACACATGTATGTCTGCTAGAACCACTCGCGCGTTTCGCGCGCGCTTAGGTTCTAGCCGTGCCTGAGGACCTCGCATCGCAAATTACCAGAGAGGAGTGTAAGTTAAGGGCGACTCTGGAGTTCTCTCGGGGTTGGTAGTAAGACCTGCTGCAGTGGACTTGTGGGATCGCGGCAAGAAGTAGGGACACATTCTCTTGTGTGCGTTCTTGTCTGTGTCGCGAGAGCCTTCTCTGTAAATCAGTGTAACAACAACTGGTATATCATATTGCACTACGACGACGGAAAACTGCATGGTCACAGAAGGTCGCTGGCGGGCACGCCGACGCTTGACAATTGATAGCAGTACGCCCGAAATGGGTACGGGAAACAATTGTACAATGCCCAACAATAAATGTTGTCCCAAACCGACAGTGGCCGCTGTTGGGCAGGCGGCCTTCTGTGTCAAATGGACAGAGGCCGCGGCGGCGCGGACAGCGAGTCCTGTTCAAAATGAACAGGAACTGCTGTTGGGCATTGTACCTATTCTTTCCGTACCCATTTCGTTCGTGCAAATGTTCTATTCTCTTGTTCGTGTCGTCTGTGCGCGCCAAAAAACCAATGGAGCAATGTGTACAGCCACTCGGCCACGCGGATAAGCGTCACCCCTCTGTGGCGTCGGCAGGCTGACACCCGTGCGGTCTGCACTCAGGCAGGCCTGTCGGGAACGGCCAGCCTTAAGTCGGGCGTGTCCCCCTATAAAGGGGGATATTCTACGAACAAATACTCCAACACATACTCCCAAGTAGTCGAGAAATGCTAAAAAATAGTCCCCATACTATTTTCTGACTATTTTGGAATATTCCTCCTGTAGAGGGACGGGCCCGACTTAAGGCCAGCCTATTCATTCGCTGTTTCGGCGCTCGCTGCAAAAATTGCCAAGCGCTTGCAATGCGACGCGAAGGCTTGCGAAGCGCGGGCTGCGCAGCGCAGCGGCTAATTCCGTTTCTGGGGGGGGGGGGGAATTGACATTGTGTGCTGGGGGAGGCCCGGGGGGGGGGGGGGGGGGGGCAACACGACAACATGTGTGTACATGTATACACGCATGCTGTCGGGCCTCTTGGGGCCTTCTTGGCTTCTCGGGGGCCGCTCGGGGCTTCCCGGGGGCCTCTCGGGGCCGAAGGCTCGAAGTGTCCGTTCTGGGCCTCCGTGTGGACCCTCTCGGGAGTCGCCCTGCGGGCCTCTGGGGCCGTCTTGGAGGCCTCTTGGGCCGTCTTGGAGCCCTCTCGGGGTCGTCTTGGAGCTCTCTCTGAGCGTCTTGGGGCGTTCTTGGGGGCCTCTTGGGTAGTACTGGGCGTCCTTGGAAGCGTCTCGGGCCCCCTTGGGTCGTTGAGAAACTGAAGAAGCGAGAAAACCAGACTCCCTCAACCATTAGCCTGACGAAGGACCCAACCATGTGCAGGTGTGAATACCGCAGTTGACACTACCAATTTCGGTGGGGCTCCCTATAGGGCCACGAAACGTGTGAAGGGGATGGGTGTGCGGGACGC